ATCGATCGCACTAAAAATCATAAACGTTGCATACGAAGATCGAGGAAAAGAAGTTACTATTGGTCGCTGACTTAAAGGAGAACTCTGCTGCGGCCATGACGGGCAACAGGTTCACCTACATAGAGGGCCACACCAGGAGGGCCACACATAGAGGGCCACACCAGGTGAATATTCAGAGGAGGTCACTGCATGACACAGAGCTGAGGAGTCCCTCTCAGCCGCCATGTGATGGCACAAGATCATCAACGGATGCATATTTTATATTAATGGAATGCACGAGACGTGATGTGTCATTGTAACACTTCTCACAGAGATCACATGACTCCCCCTGACAAGGCCTTCATCTGCTTTTCTCCCCAGAAGGACGCCACCATCTTTGCACAGGCATCATCCAGGGTCACCATCTACTTCCTGGACTGAGATCCTGGCTCAGAGATGACACAATCATGTAAATCCCAGTATATGCGGGGTTACACCTGCTTGTGATCGCCACCAGGGGCACCCATGACAGTGTGACAACGCAGGATCACAATTGGGTGACAGGCACCGAGTGTTGTCCCCCCATAATGAGTGCCTGGACAATGGCGGGATCACCAGGGATGCTTTTCATGAAAGCTGCAGATTTTAAAAGATTGAAAACAACGTACACAATTATATCATCAGAATCATGCTTATGTCGTGTGATCTTAGTGATTGGGGGGAGGGGGAGTAGATCAAAATAAAATCCAGGGAGAAGGATGACTATAAAATAATGATTATGATCATTTACATCCGGGGTCTGGGGTCAGATCCAACCTGCATGCATTCAACAACTGAAATATACCAATATTGGGTGAAGTGACGATTTCTGCAGCAAGAAAACTGCGGCCACCTAACGCACGGCACCTAAAACACAGCACCTAACGCATGGCTCCTAACACACAGCACCTAACGCACGGCACCTAAAACACAGCACCTAACGCACGACACCTAAAACACAGCACCTAACGCATGGCTCCTAACACACAGCACCTAACGCACGGCTCCTAACACACAGCACCTAAAACACAGCACCTAACGCACGACACCTAAAACACAGCACCTAACGCATGGCTCCTAACACACAGCACCTAACGCATGGCTCCTAACACACAGCACCTAACGCATGGCTCCTAACACACAGCTCCTAACACACAGCACCTAACGCATGGCTCCTAACACACAGCACCTAACGCATGGCTCCTAACACACAGCACCTAACGCATGGCTCCTAACACACAGCTCCAAACACACAGCTCCTAACGCACGGCACCAATGGCACAGCACCTAACACACAGCACCTAATTTACGTATTTATGGCACGGCACCTAACGCACGCACCTATGGCACGGCACCTAACGCAAGCACCTATGGCAAGTCACCTAACGCATGGCGCCTAACATACAGCACCTAACCCACAGCACCTAACGCACAGCAGCTAACATACAGCATGTAAAGCACGGCACCTATGGCACAGCAGCTAACATACAGCACTTAACGCACGGCAGCTTACACACAGGACCTAACGCACAGGACCTAACGCACGGCACCTAAGGCACGGCACCTCCGTCTGAAGGTATAAAACACATTAGGAGCATTAGAGAGGCTGTTAATCTGTATGAGGAAGCGACGGAGGAGGCGGCTCCGTCACAATTACAAGTCTTAGGAGGTAAATGCTTATGGCAGCCTCACACGCAAGGCCCAGATTATCACACTCAGCTGCGGCCTCGGGAACCTGTTGGTCTCCGGCTGCTGGGGAACTGCAAATGTCAGCATGGCCTTCAATGCCGGGACCCGCTGGACCGCCCAGTCAGCCAATCTCTGCTCCATATTAACACAGTGCTACAGAGCCCGGGAAGCGTCCAACTCACGCCGCAACAAAATCCCGACTCCCGAGTCATCAGCTCGGATCTATACATGACCCGTACACCACCAATCATTTCATTATTATTCACCCCGAGTGAATATCCCAGCAGAGCATTTCACCACTGCACGATTTTCAGAACACTGAACTGTCTACTTTAGGGGATACACTATGGCAGCCCCCCCCC